GTTCAGGCCCCATGACCGGACCTCCCCCACACCCAAAAAAAAGAAATTAGTCAAAAAGGCAATTGAACTTTTACTTCATTCTACTCAAGCCTGACCAAACCCATGATAAGTAAGCAGTGTAAACAAAGATGCTTTCTCTGCTGCCATGACAACTGTCCCTGAGCAGGATGCAGGCCTCCATGGTATATCCAAACCTGCCAAGTTCTGAAATCTAAGACTCTCCTCTTGGGCTGACAATAACAAGCCATAAATAAGGGAGGTTCAGATAAAGATAATTTATTCAATTTCTTCTCAGCAACCACTTTCCTTGACCTCTCTGAGACATTCTGCTCTAGTAGCCAAGTCCTTCTTTTACTTTTGTGGCTTTGTTCCAATCTACAGAACCTGTTGCAACTACAGCCACTTCTGCTTCTTTGCTGATTCCTCTTTTTTTTATGTCCTTTCCCATCCCTCCTCCCACAAGACTATAGGTGTGTGTGTGTGTGTATATGTGTGTGTGTGTGTATGTGTCTGTCTGTCCTAGTGCTTAATTCAACTTAGTGCCTGGGCACTGTCTCTGAAGTTTGGGGTTTTTATTTTGGGGGGGGGGTCCAGTTGTGGGGCCTAAACTCCGGGCCTGGGCGCTGTCCCTCAGCTCTTCAGCTCAAGGCTAGCGCTCTACCACTTGAGCCATAGCGCCACTTCCGGCTTTTTTCATTTTTGCTTATGTGGTGCTGAGGAATCGAACCCAGGGCCTCAGGCATGCAAGGCAAGTGCTCTACCACTGAGCCACCTTCCCATCCCCCTTTTTTTTTGATGGTTGTGGGGCCTGAACTCTGGGCCTGGATGCTGTCCCTCAGCTCTTCAGCTCAAGGCTAGCACTCTACCACTTGAGCCACAGCGCCACTTCCGGCCTTTTCTGCTTATGTGGAGCTGAGGAACCAGGGCCTCAGGCATGCATGCATGCAAGGCAAGCACTCTACCACTGAGTCACCTTCCCAGCCCCTGTCTCTGAGGATTTTTGCTCAAAGCTAGTGCTCTACCACTTGAGCCACAAGCTCCACTTCAGACTTTTTTGGTGCTTAATTGGAGATAGTCTCATGGACTTTTCTGCTTGGGCTGGTTTTGAACTGCAATCCTCAGATCTCAGCCTCCTAAGTAGCTAGGATTACAGGCGTGGGCCACCATACCCTAGCTCTGACTATAGACTTTTGACTTCTGGTTTCCTTCCCTTCTCTGGACTATTATTGAGCAATTACTTAATTAGCCACTTAATTAATACACAGGTCTTGGTTTGAGATCATCCCTGTATAAAAGAAGACCCTATCTCAAAAATAACTAAAGTAAAATGGGCTGGAGGTATGGCTCAAGTCACAGAATGCTTGCCTACCAAGCACAAAGCTCTGAATTCAAAACTCACTATCACCAAAATAATACTAAAAAAAGAAAAAAAAAGATAATAAAGGTTCATCATCTTTTAGCCAAAAGTGTTTTGTTTAGGATCAAAAGTGTTTAAAATGCACATTTAGGATTGAGAGATAACATCTGCATCTTCTATAGATTGCATGATGTCGCCTTACTCAGTGAGGGCAGAATGCTCACAAGCATTTCCTGTGCTCTCTACATTTCCTAAAGTTAGTCTGGGCCTTTGTGCCCAATTCTGATCAAGAGCCGGGGAGGGAATTAAGCTCTATACTCTTCCCTGGTAGTTGCATGCCTCAAGATAGTAGTGTTTCCCTCAACACAGGTTAGTAACTTGTGAAAAAGTCTGCCCCCTCTTCATATTGAATATAATGTGTTAAGTCACTGAGACCTGTGGTTTATTTGTTAACATAGTACAAAGTTAGTTTTGTTGCTAAACTGATTTGGCAACAAAACAATTTGCCACGTCAGTTTTCTGTGTAGTTTGTAATACTGGACTGAACCTAGAGTCTCACACATGGAAGACAAGCACTCTTCCAATAGGTTATATACACAACCCCTAAATATTTATTTATTAGTGTGACTCAGGAAAAACACCTTAGTTCAATGTAAGAGACAAATGAAATCAACCTTTTTTTTTTTCCGGCCAGTCCTGGGGCTTGAACTCAGGGCCTGGGCACTATACCTGAGCTTCCTTTGCTCAAGGTTAGAACTCTACCACTTGAGCCACAATGTCACTTCCAGCTTTTTCTGTTTATGTGGTACTGAGGAATTGAACCCAGGGTTTCATGCATACGAGACAAGCACTCTACCACTAAGCCACATTCCCAGCCCATGAACCAACATTCTTAAAAAAAAAAAAAATCCTAGAGCTGAACAGCAGTGACTCATGCCTGTAATTATAGCTACTCCAGGAGGTTGAGATTTGAAGGATATGATAGCCTGGGCTGAAAACTCCAAGAGATTACATCTCCAAATAATCAGCAAAAAAAACAGGCTGTTCATGTGATACAGCTGAGCAAATGTAAGGTCCTGAGTTCAAACTTTAGTACTGGCAAAATGATGATGATGATGATGATGATAGGCTATGTGTCATGATTTCTAATTTTCAAACTGGCCAGCCTGTCTTATCAATAGCCTTTGAAAGAGAAGGAAAGACCTAGAATGATTCACAGTAAAAGCAAAAGGCAGTCTCAATCACTGACCATGCAAGAAGTGTTAGCTCCTAGAATTCTCTTCCTCTAGAACTGATAGCCAAGGCCCGGGCCTGCTTGTGCTCTGCCATGAAGAAAGCATATTTTCCATTATGAACATGCATTAGTGAACATCTAGGGAGTCAGTTCCAGCCCTTGGGTGCTATGTAAGTATCTACCTGTCATTCTGATAAAATTCAAAGAAAAATAAGGAATTCTTTCTCTCTCCACTGAGATTTTTCAGAAATAGGCTGAATCCCAAAGTTTGCAGAAAAACATCAAAAATATCATGGCTCAAATGGTAGCTGTGAGTTAAAAAAACAAAAAACAAGTGAAAGCATGTCCTTAGTTCAAGTCCCAGTATCAGCACAGAAAAACCCACCCTAGGGCTGGGAAGGTGGCTCAGTGGTAGAGCACTTGCCTTGCATGCTCAAGGCCCTGGGTTCGATTCCTCAGCACCACATAAGCAAAAAGAAAAAAGCTGGAAGTGGCGTTGTGGCTCAAGTGGTAGAGTGCTAGCCTTGAGCTGAAGAGCTGAAGGACAGTGCCCAGGCCCAGAGTTCAGGTCCCACGACTGGACCCAAAAAAAAAAAAAAAACCCACCCTCAATCAGATAGTCAATTATGACACTCCACTAAAGACAGAAAAACTTTACCCTTTTAATTCCACTACACAATATAAACATAATTCTGGTTAAAAAAATTAAAAGTTTTCCCAAAACTCACACTCACAGTGACAGACCACAATAGAAGTGATATAATCACTACAACTTTACATTCGTATTTTTTGTTGTTGTTGATTAGGGGGCTTGGGTACTGTTCCTGGGCTTTTTTTGCTGAAGGTTAGCCACTCTACTACTTTGAGCCACAGCTTCACCTCCAGTTTTTGGGTTATTAATTAGAGGTAAGAGTTTCACAGACTTTCCTGCCCAACCTGGCTTCAAACTGTGATCCTTAGGCCTCAGCCTTCTGAGTAGCTAGGATTATAGGCATGAGCCACTACCTGGCTTCATTTGTACATTATTTTAAAATGTACAAAATACTTTATATACTATTTATGATTTTACAACAAAGGGGTAGACATAGAGGGTACTAACTGTGCCTATGTTTCAGCTGGAAAAACAGGTTCAGAAAGGTTATATGAGTCATACTTCGTAAAATTATTGTGACTAGGTATCAGGTCTGGATCTACTACCTGGCTCCATTCAATACCCTGTGTAAAAACTCTGTGAACTTCAAAATATTAAACACATGCTTATGGTTGTCGATGTTGTTTAACTATTATTGTAGAAAGCACACTGTAAATTGTAAAATCTCATGTCAGTAGGTTAACCAATAATTCTATGATACCAACTCCCTACCCTGCCCCACTCCCTACCCTGCCCCTGTACTCTTTTGACCAACCTAAGCTGTCAGCCCTAATAAAAAACTAGCATTGTGACTGATGAATGCCTGCAAAAGCCATCCACAGGCCCAGCCACACCTAGGATGGACATAAACCAAAGACAGTCAGTCAGTTATATGTTATTATATGTTTCTAGGGACCAAAAGGACAGAAGGGAGGGAAAAAAAAAAAGCACAGAACCTACCTCCTGAAAACAGTTCATAGCTGAGTACCTCATTGCCTGCTCAGAATGCTTACTTACTGCTTACTTGTTCTCAAATGCACTCATTCTTTCAATTAGTTACCAAGTTCATTTACTTAGGGAAGAGAATGTCTAAAGTATCAGTAAGCAGATTTAAGTTAGGTTCACTAGTTCTTCTAGGCCTCATCTCTAAAGAAATCAATTAACCCAGATCCCCTGACTTTCCTCGTTGTGCCAAGCTTGAGCCCTATGAGGCTGTGCCACTCTTAATTCAGCTTTGCAGCCAATATTGCCATTCTCTCACTGAAGAGCTGTTTGTCTCTGCCAACACCATTCCACCACTGAATAAACAACAGTTTCCACCAGCCAGAATAACTGGCTGCCTTCAACCGTGACTATGCAATTTGAATCTTAGTCAAATTTGACATTTCTTAGCCCAATTTGGCATCTCTTAGCCATTTAAGTTCGATTTTGTTTTCCTTAAAAAAAATTTTTTTTCTATTGATTCTGGGGTTTGAACATGGCCTCACACTCTTAATTCAGCTTACTTGTTCAGCTGTCCCTTTACTACTTAAGCCATGCCTCCAACTCAGCTAGATTTTGATATTTTATTCCTCTTTCCTCCTAAGTCTGGATCTCTTGGCATAAATTGGTTTCATCCAATGTCAAACCCAACAATAAAAACCACAATAAGCCAGACACTGGTGGCTCATGCCTGTAATCAGTGGCTGAGATATGAGGATCACGGTTCAAAGCCAGCTTGCACAGGAAAGTCTATGACTTATCTCCAATTAAGTGCCAGAAAACCAGAAGTGAAGCTGTAGCTCAAAATGGTAGAGCACTAGCTTTGAGCGAAAGAGCTCAGGGATGGTGCTCACCCGCAGAATTCAAGCCCAAAGACAAGCATTTCTCTCCCTGTAAGATCCCCAAAAAACCAAAAATCCAGATTCAGATTCATATGTGCCTGGGTAGGTACATATTAGATGATACAGAAACTCTATGACAGACAAGTTTTTAGACAGCATTGAAAGAGGCTGCTAAATAGTATTGTGAGAAACTAACCAGGGGCCCAGAACACAATTAATAAGTAACTAGTGAGCTACAAATCCACTAAAACAACTTATCTGGGAAATGAATTCTATTTGTCCAGCATGAGTAGCAGACTGAAAAGCTATAACAGGTAATTTGGGTCCTTACCAAAAATTTCTTTTTCTCACTGGCCCCTGCACATGAGCTTGTTGTTACTGTGGGCATGTTCAGAAGGGCTGAGCTGCTGGTGGTGTGTTTTTTCTTTAAAAACAAAAAAACTAATGTTAATAATTTGTATTCTCCATGCAACAGAAAAATGTGTGATGTTATTCACATAAACTGTGGGTGCTAAGAGCCAGTACCTCTTAAAAGTACTTTTAAATAAATTGTCAAGGCCACATGCCGGTAAGCCTAGCTACTCAGGAAGCTGAAATCTAAGGATCAGGAAAGTCTGTAAGACTCTTATCTCCAATTAATCACAGAAAAAGCTGGAGGTGGTGCTGTGGCTAAAGTGGTAGAGTGCTAATCTTGAGCAAAAAGGAGCTCAGGGACAGAGCCAAAGCCCAGAGTTCAAGCCCTTGGACTGGCAAAACAAACAGCAAACAAACAAAACAACACCCCACAGGACTTTAGGATTTTTCTCTTTTTTTTTGGTCAGTTGTGGGGTTTGAACTCTGGGTCTTGGCTCTGTCCCTGAGCTTCTGTGCTCAAGGCTAACACTCTACCACTTTGAGCCATAGTGCTACTTCCAGTTTTCTGGTGGTTAATTGGACATAAGGGTGTCATGGTCTTTCTTGCTTGGCTGACTTGAACTGAGATCCTCAGATCTCAGCCTCTTGAGTAGCTAGGATTACAGGTATGAGCCACCAGTACGCTGCTGAAGTTTTCTCATAACTTTTAGCTGTAAACAGAAATATTCCTAAAAGATAATCTCCCTTTAATGAATGACTAAGGACTACCTCTACTCCTCTTTTTTCCAGACTGGTCTCTTTGGCCCTTCCAATTAAAGAAAGCTTCTTTTTCTCATTACTAACTGCTATCCATTCTAATAGTTCAGTTTGGAGAGAGATCAGCTAACTAGTGCAGTGTTAGCAAGCACACTACACATAGGAAGACAGGAAGGAAAGTGAGGTCAATAGACTTTAGTGTGGGGGAGGGGACTCGTTTCTGGCAAAATACTCCTTCCCAAAGTAGCTTTGACTACAAGTTACCAGCAAGGGAGAACCCGCACAATTACAAAGAATAATATATTAAAGTGGGACAAGAATGGGTCCTACACTGTTCCCCCAATTCTATAAGATAATTTTAACAACAACAAAAAAAGCAGTTTTCTAATCTTTCTATTATAACATAGAACAAAAGACACCCCCCACCACCACCACCAGTGTTCCATGAATAGAAAACGTTCTAAAGAGTTGGTAGACAGGATACAAATGAGGAGCGAGACTAGCTAATAAGACAGAACTACAAGGAAAAAAATCATGGACAAACTTTCATCAAACATGTCCAGAAACAGCCATCAGATATAGCACAGGGTACCCGCTAGGTAAGAGAGCTTCTTATCTACTCACTCTTCTCTACAGGCTAAAATACCCAGGTAACAGGGTATATAATAAATAACAATGGAGGTGAAGACTCTCAGCAGAACACAAGTTTCTATATTAACAAAAATAAGAAAAGAGGCTCATACCTATAATTTTAGCTACTCGGGGGGTTGAGATCTGAAGATTGTGGTTTGGGCCTGGGCAGACAAATCTGTGACACTCTTATCTCCAATTAACCCTCAAAAAGCCAGAAGTAGAGTTGTGTGTGGCTCAAGTGGTAGAGCAATGGCCCCTGAACTGGCATAAAGAAAGAAAAGGGGAGAGAAGGAGAGAGATGAGAAGGGGAGAGAAAGGGAGAATGCAAAGAGGGGAAGAGAGGAAGAAAGAAAGAGAAAGGAAAAGAAAAGAAAAAGGTTTTTTCCTAAAGATGTACATAGTATTCATTTTCTCTCTGCAGGTGAAATGCTACACTTAAGGCTTTGGGACTCCAGATTATAAACACACATAATAATTGGGTCCATATATCACTTACCATCTAACAGAATACAAAAGGAACCAATAGCATTCAAGCCTGCTACTAGACTAGCTTTAACTTCTCACATTTTTCTCTTCATGAAATCCTCTCTACCACAAATTTAGTTAAGCTGTGCCAGAGACACACATACCTGCCTATTTGGGTGACCCGTGTCCTTGTTCTTCATGGTCTCATATCCAGATACCCGGGGACGTCGACTCATCTGGAGGGCCACCAGATCCTTCATGATTGAGTCCAATGCCTCCTGTTCATCTATATTGAAAGAGAGCATATAGGTTAAGATATTGAAATACAGACTAGCAAAGTACTTCTACACATTACCCACTAATATTTAGGAAGTTATACTCAGGTATAATGGCAGATCCTGCAACTACAGCCACATATGATGCCATTATGTCTCCAAAATGTCAGATTACTTCAATTTTTTTTTATTTTTTATTTTTTGCTGGTCCTGGGGCTTCAACTCAGGGCCTAGACTCTGTCCCTGAGCCTCTCTGTGCTCAAGGCTAGTGCTCTACCACTTAAGCTACAGAGCCACTTCAGGCCTTTTCTGTTTATGTGGCACTGAGGAATTGAACCCAGGGCTTCATGCATGCTAGGCACTAGTATGCTACCTCTAAGCCATATGCCCAGTCCTTTAATGCACTCTTAACAGCCCTCCATCACATTCCTGGAAGCAATATTTAATAACTGACTGCAACTGAGGGAAGTATTCAAGCAGAGCAGCTTCCCTAGTGCCAGAGAAACATAATCAAGAAAAAAACAGAAGCAAATTTCCAGTGAAGAACAACACAGCATAGGGTACTGAATCAAAAGACAAATTCAGAGAGTGCTGATTATTGGACACAGTCTCAAACCTATTCTCCTCTCCCTTTGGTGGTACTAGGGATTGAACTTAGGGACTTATATTCTACCATTTAAGCCATAAAAGTGCACTCCCAGAACTTTTGTTTTTATTTTCGAGGTACGATCTGGTTAGGTTTGCCATGTTTTCCTCTAACTTGTGAGTCTCTTGCCTCAGCCTCCAGAGTCACTAGGATTATAATAAGCATGAACCACCATACTGGCTTTCTGTTGTTGTTAAAAACAGAGGCTCACTATTATAACTGGCCTCAAACTCAAAATCCTTCCACCTCAGTTCCTCAGTGCTCACATAGCAGGCGGGTACAACTACACCCAGCCAGATCTATTCTTAAACAATCATGTGTAGGAAAGTACATCTTTAAAGTAGCAAACAAGGCCTTCAGGTAGCTGTTTTGAACAGAAATTGTTTTACAAGCCAAGCCTTTGAATGTGTGCCCCCTCCCCAAAAAAAATTCTTTACAAGTTTACGGGCCTTCTGTTTCCCATAGGGATGTCAAAGGGCAGCTCTGTTGTCTTCTTTCCTATCTGATCAAACAAGCATTGTCTCTATCTCATTGGCTTTACTTTTAATCCCCACCTCTTGAAATAGTGGAGTAGTAGTGTTCTCAAGCACTGAAGACAACTGACCAAAACACAGCCCAATTCCATGTTTTAGAATTTTCTCCTAGGTATGTAAGAGATTCTTGTCCTTCAAATAACATTAAAGGACTGAAAAGAAGTAAATCTGCTGATATGGAAGGAAACCCAAGGGATGAGTTATTACACTTGCTTCCAAGACTTGTGAGTCACTTGGGGACCTAGGACACACCTTTAGAAGGAAGGAGCATAAAAGACTCCACCTAAAGAGAATGCCTGTCTTCCATCTTTTATCTTTGTCTCTTGGAAATATTCTAATACTCGGTGGAGAGAAAAGAACCAACAGCTCTTTACTTTTTTTTGCCTTTGCCCTCTTTCTAGACCAATCTGTTCAGATGTCTATCATGTGCCCTGAAGAGGTATAGGAAAGGAACAAAAGTACCTACAAAGACTACTTTGGGAGGATGAGATGTGGCTCAAGTGGTAGAGCACCTGCCTATTAAGCTCAAGGCTCTGAATTCAACAACAACAACAACAATATATATATGTGTGTGTGTGTGTGTGTGTGTGTGTATATGTATTTGTGTGTATATATATATACACACATATATATACTTATATATGTGTGTGTGTGTATATATATATTACATACTGGGCACTGGTGGCTCACACCTGTAATTCTAGCCACCCAGAAGGCTGAGATCTAAGGATCTCAGTTTGAAGCCAGCCTGGGTAGGAAAGTCCATGAGACTCTCATCTCCAATTAACCACTAGGAAAGCAGAAGTGGCACTGTGGCTAAAAGTGGTAGAGTGCTAACCTTGAGCAAAAAAGCTCAGAGACAGCATCCAGGCCCTGAGTTCAAGCCCCATGAAGGAAAAAAAGAAAAAGAAAAAAAAAGCTTTACCTAGCTCAGGCTGACCATTTCCCTTAATGTGTACTTTCTTTTTCTCTATGAAACTCCTTGCTTTGCCACTCAAAAAAAAAAAAATCCCATTTTTGCCTGCTTGGAAAAGTAAAATTATTTAAAAGCTGCAAGAAAAACATCAGTAATAGCTACCCATATGATTCCACTTTAAAATATATACAAAAATATTAACCTTGTGAGGTGGGCATGTGTATAATTGCAGCTCTTGAGTGGCTGAAGGAGGAGGATTTTGAGTTTGAGGCCAGCCTGAGCTATATATCAAGGCCCTGTCTCAAAACAAAAAAAGTATATATAAGGCAAAAGAATTCAGAAAAGAGGACAACAAATAAATTGGAAGTATCTCCAAAAAGATATTAGTCAAAACTAAAATACATAATTTCCTTTAATTATTTTATACTTCCTAGCAATTTCTCTATAGGTTCCTATTTAAAGAGAGAAAGAAATTGTAGCTCAGAGATAATATTGGGAGGAAGAACTTGCTTGCTTGTTTTTCAATCCTGACAACCAAGATTTTAAATCTAGAGCATAGGACTGAGGGTGTAGCTCAGAGGCAGAAATGCTTGCCTCGTAAGGCCTTGGGTTTGATCCTCAGCACCATGATAAAAACAAAACAAAATAAAAACTAGACTATAACATCTAAGCTAGGAAAGTTGACAGATGCTTATATTTAGGTGGGGGCTGGTGGCCCTAGCTACTCAGAAGTCTGAGATGTGAGGATTAAGGGTCAAAGCCAGCCGATGCAGACAAATCTACAAGACTCTTATCTCTAAGTAACTAGAAAAACTTGGAATATTCAAGTATAATCCACAAGTATAACGAGAAACATTCAAGTTCTGAATAAGATGATGCTATTATAAGAGCCAGTTTATCAGGCTGACAAATTCTGTTTCCAGGAAGCTAACCAGTTCCTGGCCTTACTTAATGAGTGAACTTGTTTGGTAGTTCTAGCAGCAAGAACACGCTAGGGGAATGGTCTGGCACTGTTGCCTGAAATCTAGGACAACTGATACAACAAGTAAAGCATGATTTTGAGTCTGATTTTAGAGCCAAACATATTACAACCAACAGACAAGTTTGTCAACTGATACTTCAAAATGAGAACATAGATAAAGACAGGAAGTAGATCAAGTAGCTCTTAGGCATTTCCTCCTGGAGATTTTTAACTAAATTATCAGCACTCCTTCAGTGTGGTATTCCTTAACAAATAAACAAAACTTCAAAGAAACAGTTTTCTTAGAATGCAGCAGTTACTAGTAACATAAACTTTGAATCTGAAAGACATAAATTTAAGGAGGCTTTAAGTGCTGGTTGCAGGTGGCTCATACCTGTAATTCTAACTCCTCACGGGGCTGAGATCTGAAGATCACAGTTCAAAGCCAGCCCAGGTAGGAAAGTCTATGGGATGCTTATCTCCAATTAGCCAGTAAAAAGCCAGAAATGGATGTATGGCTCAAGTGGTAAAGCATCAGCCTTAGGTGAAAAAGCCAAGTAAGAGCTTAGACTCTGAATTCAAGCCCCAATGGCAGCGTGCGCGCGCGCACACACACGCACATGCATGCACACACACACAGGTTTTTAAGCAAATGACTTATTCTCCTTAAACCAGAGAATTGCTCTGAAAGTGAGAGAATTGACAAACTGAAGGTATGGAAAGCAGGAAAGGAAAGGAAAAGAAGACTTACAAATTACTTATGGTACCCAACATTTAGTAATGCTAAAAAAAAATGCTGGCTTTTTTTTTTATCATCAATAGGAAAAAGGTCAATGGAAAAAGACTAGAGGCTAATCCACCCTAGTACTTACTTTTGTTCCTGGATTTTTATTAATCATTACCATTTACTGTCATGTATTATACATTAGAAAGTTTTAAAAAGCTATATCCAGGTGTTCAAACTTTAGAAGTAAAAGGATAAACACTATATATATATATATATATATATATATATATAATTTTATTTTATTTTTTTGGTTAGGGGGCTTGAACTCAGGTCCTGGGTGCTGTCCCTGAGCTTTTTCACTCAAGGATACTGCTCTACCACTTTTAGCCACAGCACCACTTCTGGTTTTCTTGCCTGGGCAGGCTTTGAACTGTGATCCTCAGATCTCACCCTCTGAGTAGCTAGGATTACAGGCATGAGCCAACAGCACCCAGCTTAATGATATTTTTTAAAAGTGGACTGAATTAGATAATATACAAACCAGTGTATATAAACACAAATGTATAAAGAACATTTTTCAAAATGAGTTGAAACAAGTTACACAGACAAGCTCACAAAATTATAAATAATATAAAGATCAGAAAAGCTGAGTCAGAGAATTGAAAAGAAGGAAATGAAGAAAAAGCAAGGAGGAAATAGATGTGGAGAAAAGAGTAACAGGGACTAATCAGTGAATACCCTAGTAGAGTGGGAAGTAGGAAAGCTAGAAAAGAATCCTATAGCATGGGAACTTCTCATCCATGTAGGCTGGAGATGCTCAGCATCATTTGGTACATGAAGAGACAGACATGTATACTTACATTCTTCTCCATGGTTACCTGTAGCCTTCTGCCTTTATTGATAATTTTAAGGCCTGAAAATAAATGTGTGTACATATATGTTATACATATGTGTGTGTGTGTGTGTGTGTGTGTGTGTGTGTGTGTGTGTGTATCTCCAAGAGGCCCTTGGCAGAAAAAAAAGGTCCCTTCCTCCCCCTGTAAGAGAATGAAAAGAAATAAAACAGCCAGGTGCCAGTGGCTCACGCCTGTAATCCTAGCTATTCAGGAGGCTGAAATCTGAGGATCACGGTTCAAAGCCAGCCCAGGCAGGAAAATCTGTGAGGCTTTTATCTCCAATAAAACCAGAAGTGGTGCTGTGGCTCAAGCAGCAGAGCGCTCACCTTGAG